GGGGCGCCAAGTGGCGAGTCGGTAAAACATTTTGTAAAACATTTGGTACATCTAGGTTTATCTTATACAAACAGGCTCAATGATAAGTCGAAAAATAGAATTGACACGTGTCGACACATAATTGGATAATTTGAGGGAAAAAAACATGATATCCAATTATTATCTACCACACTACCCTGTCACCTCCATCGTTGTCCTTGAACATGTCCAAGGAACATTATTCGACATTGAAATCAAGAAGGACAGTGAAACTTGGATCCACATGCCAAATGGCATGTTTAAAAGGTCTATTGGGACCCAATTCTAGAAGTGTAGACCAGAAGGACATCACTCCAGGTCCAGGACCATATGTTACGTTATACGGCAAATTGTGGAAATAACAACTTTAGATTCATTTGTCAACATTTTTGAAAAGACAAAAATTATTTTAAAGATTAAAAAGTTAATTTTTAACCCCTCTTTGAACCACATTATCATTTTCATTCTTATTTTTCTACTCATATTCAATCACGCATTCTTCAATAAAATAATATTTTTCATCATATCAATAATTTTTTCTTCCTTTTCAACTACATATTCACCATCACATTACAAAAAAATGCATTCTTTCCATTTTAACGTGTATCAAACACACTCTTAATATGTGCTTTGTCTTATTAGAGAAACTTTTGAAGGAAGCTGACATTAAATAATTTTCTCGGAAAACTCTTCTACAAAAAGCAAAAGTTGTGTCGAACAAACCTTTATTCTAGTTCCTTTTATGCTCGAAAAAGTTATGAAGTGTAAATTTCTAAACTCGCAACATGTAAAGCCTAAGTAGCAGATCAAACAATTCAAATATACCTAATTTTGCAATCTAGAAAGCTGGGAAAATAACAATTAATCTACCACAAGATCATCTTTTGTTGAACAAATTTAAACTCGAGAAAATAGTCAATAGATTGCAAATCAATGACTAAGTAATACAGAACATAACTTTCTATTGATTATTGTGGATGTTATAGTTTTTACTTTTCCCTTCTCATTTTTGTGTGATAGTGATAACACTTTACTGTATTACCTATGTTGTCAATGTTTTCTTAATAAAATTTTCTAAGTTTCTGAATAAAATGTATTAAATAACAATGTCCTTCTTTTCAAGGTACAATTGGTTGAATTTGTCAAGATCAACCCCCCTTTTTGGGGGCAAGAAATCAGTCAAATGACTAATGATAGAAGATTGATGCATAGCATGTATGTTTATCTTCCTTCTAATATAACAATTCAAAAGAGTGCAAGCAGCGGTGTCAAAACTAACTGGATTGGATCGAAAAATATCCATCTGTTACGGGCTAGGCCGTGTCAGGTTCGCATTATGGCTTGTCCGCACAATGAGGCAAGCTATGCTCATCCCAAAATCTCGGTCAATTCAAGTCCGATCAGATTTTAATAACTATGTATGTAAGTCATTATGGGTCTATCTACGACCAGTCCTTATCGTGCAGTGGTGCGTCGTGAGGCCCACTTCATAGCGCGATCACAATCCTCTATTTTAATTATTTATTTAATGCAATGAAAAAATGTTTTCATTGCATTGGATGCAGAGTCCATTCCAAAAAAAATAAAAAAATTGCTCCTTTTTCTTAAGAATTAATAAGTTGGCTTGGACCAGCTCAACGCAGTCCGGACGAGTCTAAGTTCCAAGAGTTGGTCGTGGCAAAAGCATGTTGTCGAAGGACAAAGCTATGTTTACTCTCCCAACTCGACTCAATTGACATGATCTCTTTTTTATATGTTTAGTTTGGCGTGATTAATACTAAGGACGAGTTAACGGTAAAATGTGAGAAATATTGAGTATAGATTTTGGGAGCCCACTTTGGGACCCAATTCTAGAACTAAGGACCACATGGGAAGACCAGATTTGCCTATAGACAACTAGTGTCCATTCATAATGGATTATTAAACACAAAGAACCCAACTAGAAGACTAAACATTCAATATATTCTTTGTTGGACATTGAAAATTTTTAAGAAAGTTGAAAAAGAAAACGTGTCGATATTTTCAAAGAATTGAAAAAGAAAACGAGTCGATATTTTCAAAGCATTCAATGAAAAATAATTTTTTTAGTATTCAGCTATCTCAATATTATGAAGCCATTTATATGGAGTAAATAAGACGATTTTATTTTAATTATGGTCAATATATTAGGATTTCCGCTTTCTTTGAGTTGAACATTGACCATGGAAAAAAATAGTTAGAGTGCAAAAATAATAATTTATTTAACTAATTTCAAAATAACCAAGAATGAGTCAATGAAAAGATACATCATCGAGTGAATATGTACTAATTCAAGAAAGGTTGTCGAGATTTGTATTATGAGTTTGTTTGGGAGGGATTTTAATCAAATTAATATGAAAATATAGTCGTTATTGGGTCCCACTAGTCTAATAAAAGTCAACAATAACGGCTAGTTTTTCAATTTTAATCCGATTTTAATCATTCTTAAAAAAAATATCTTTCATGGGAATGACACAATCTCAATAAAACATTTTGAAAAGAGAGAATAATGTCGTTAAGAATTGAGTTCTCGTGAACAATGTCTACGTGCTCATGCAATTCTAGATTTTTTTTTTGAAAAAAGGTGGGTCCCTCTCTATTATTTTTTTCACGTAATCTAGAAGAGAGTCGTGAAGATTTTCAACCTCAGGCTCCCAATAATGACTTTGTATATAATCATTATATTCACTAACAATTTCACCATATCAACTTTCGTTATTGAATTAACCATACACTTCATATGTTTCTAACGATTCCCATCGATTCCAGTCTCAAGAGTGAGCCAATAGAAGAAATCGCTCATTCAAAATCCATGCAGGAAACAGATGAATTAGAAGAAACACTGTCTTTATGCGATCTTCCAATCTATAGTCACGAGGGAGAGACAGTCTATAGTTCTGAATCACACGGTTCAAATTCATTATGGACTTCTGATCTCGATCAAGATTGCTTTGAGTTTTTCAGTGAAGAATTGAATTCCTTTCCGCCAGAAAACATCGTTTTCTGTGGAAAACTCATTACTTCTAAAAAACCCATCTCAGAAAATCCAATCCCAGTTGAAAACAAGCAGCAAAGTAGCCGGAAATGGCGTCTCCGGCGACTTTTCCGGTGGAAGTTCAATTCTAGCAAAAAAAATCCATGTGTTAAGAACAAGAAGGAACATAAATTGCAAAATAGGCATGAATTTCCATATAAAAAAGTGTCTGTATTAACTTCATCATCATCAGGGAAGTCTAGATGGTACCTGTTCTTGTTTGGAATTACTAGATTTCCAACAGAAATGGAGTTGAGGGATATGAAGAACCGGCAGAGCCGCCGCCACCGCCGGGATCCATCGCCGCCAATGTTTCAGCTGAAACGTAATGACGAGAAGACTAATGTAGGCAGAAACAGTTGTAGGGGACTATGGCGGCTGGTCAAGGCATTGAGCTGCGGCGGCAGCGGTGGCAGCCACCAGACGATAGCTGCACCGTTGAGTTGCATCCCTCCACCACCAGTTTGCGTTCAGCCATATTGCACTCCGTCTTTGACTATTCCAGACTGCCAGAGTTGATTATTGACAACAAAGAGATCACACCATAAAAAAACATGCCAAGAACGACCGAAATTTTTCCTTTGCTAAATTTGTTGCAACTTATCGACAAAATGGTAAATAGTGGTAGACTGAGTGTTTAGTTACTCGATGCTTCGATGAAGAAAATTATGTTGGTAGATTCTCACTGTGAATTTTGCACCTTATGTACAAATTTTTTACGATTGTTAGCATTTTTATTGAGTATAGCAGGCTTTAGCAATCGATTCATATCCGACTTTTGATGTTTATACCATAGGGTTGAATGAAATCAACCCAGTAATTTTCATATTAAAGTTGAACGATTAATATGAAACAAACCTCGAAGTTGGATGACTTTCGTAAAGATTTCCATTAAAACTTTTACGAAAGCTAAAGTTGAAAATTTATATATTTATAAAAATTAAACATGCGAGGCCCGATACAATTTAAATTCATTGCATCTTTCCCACCAGACGACTCAATTCTTCAGAGTTGTTGGTTTAATCGTCGAGATTGAACAGATGAGGTTGTGCGGAATTAGCCACTTGTACCGAAGTGGGTTGACAAAATTTATACATATAACTCACATGGGTGTCCCGTATGTAATAAAAAATTGCCCAAAAAATCCCACCCACCCCCCTATTGTGAGGTGCCTGTGGGGGTACGGTCAACCCCCACTCGGTACACCAAGCTTGGTTTCCCGCTGTGCACCGATAATAAAAAGTTAAAATACCAAATTTCTACTAAGTTAATTGATTAAGGACTAATGGTGCAATTTTCTATCCCTAAATGCACTTCTATGTACTGTTACTACAAAGCGTTTGTATTTGTCCTTTTTCTCGCAAAACTCAAACCTGTCTGGTAAACGTGAGCGAAACCCTAAGCAGAGAACCCCTCGATCTCAAGTGTAGCCTTCTTTGATCCCATTATTCGATTGGTTTCCCTCTTCAAGTATATCAAACAGCATGGAAATAATGAAAATTGATTAAATATTCCTGACACTTTTGAGCACTGAATAGGCGTAGTTAAAATTGGTATTCTTTTGATTTTGTTTACATTTTTGTAAAGATGTATAAGAACCAGCTACAGGAGCTGGCACAGAGGAGTTGCTTCAATCTTCCATCGTACGCGTGCATCAGGGAAGGTCCCGATCACGCGCCACGGTTCAAGGCTACTGTTAATTTCAACGGTGAGACGTTTGAGAGTCCTGGCTACTGTTCGACGCTCCGACAGGCAGAGCACTCGGCTGCGGAGGTGGCTCTCAATGCCCTTGCTAGCCGTGGTCCCTCCAACTCCCTCGCGGCCAGAGTTCTGGTAAAATTTGTGGACTTTACGAGACACATTTTGAGGGTTTTTTGTGGATTCCGTTTTTGTTCTTGTTCGTGATTTTTTTTATGGTGAACTTATTTATCTGATTTGAAGTTAAGAAGAAAAGAAGGAAATGATATAAAATTATAAATGTACGTATATTCCACTATGCGTTTTGATGACTTCTCTAATAATTGACCTTCTATTGGTAATTTTGGTGACTGCTTCATTTTTTATTTGGAGTGAATTATTAATCTGTTTAATAGCGCAGGTCGCAATATTTACATGTCAAATTTGTTTTCTTAGTCAATCTTTTCATTTTTTTCGTATATTGACTTGTAAGTTGTAATTATGCCTTGAGCGAGCCAAATGCTATATTTGCCAGCTTGGAATTTGTTCATTGGAATTGAATTGAAGCAAATTAAGTTCAGAGATCTATTAAAATCTGTCGAAACACTCCGCATGTGTTGGAAGTCAGTATAAGATTTCTTGTCCTGTTTTGCATCTCATGCTTTGCTATTTTGCATGGTAAACTGGTGTTTAATTTTATACATACCTATATTAGAGTAGGGCCATATGCTACAGTGTCAGATAGTGGTCTTAGTTTGAATTTTACAAAAGCTGCAAAGCAACCGAGTCATTTGTAAGTAGCTCAAGAGTCAAGATGGCTCCTTTGCAATTGGTTTAGCCTTGCTTTAGAAGCTTGAGCCTAGCTAACCTCAATTATTCTGCTACTCAAGCTCAATTCAGTCAACCTTGTTATAAATAGGAATGAAATTTTGCGTTTTTCAAATTTTCCATCAGTTTTAACTTCAGTTGAATTGTATTTGGGTTTCCAACACTATGATTCTACCATCAAGTCATTAATTGTATGAGGATTTTCGGAATCCTTTTGGGACCACATGATGCTTTACATGGAAGATGTAAATTTTACTTTCGTTTCTCAACATTGTCATTAAAGAATTCAAATTTGAAAGCTTGACAGGTGGCTAAATATATCTTGGTTTTGACTTTGTAAGCACCATTGTTCATTAATGAGCCAATCCATGATGGTTGTAAATCATGGTAAGCTGTCCGGGGACAAAATCATGTTATGCCCTTTAGGCTCAAAGGCTTGAGCAGCAATCCCAACCAAGCTAGAATTTACTACTTGGCCGTTTTAAAATTCCTAATCAAGATTGATTTTACTAATTACTCCTTATAAAACTCTTACAGAGGTTGGAATTGTTGCTTGGCTGACCTACTTGTAGAGAAAACAACAAATAAATGAATAATTAAAGGATAATAGAAACGTAAAACTGCATGTGGAAAGATAAAGTATGTACATAAGAATATATAATCGATGCGAAAGATGTGACCCAATGGCCAAGACTCATCCAGCACCTCAAATAATTATGATTGAAGTAGCATATAGTAAATTGCTATTCGGAGCATTGGATTTGTTGCACATTTAATGCCTCAAATGCCCATCGTTGCAAGAGACCGCACTTAGCAAAAGCTTTGAGGGTGGTTTGAAACAGGTTGTAGAGAGAGAAGATATTTGAAGAGTATATTTATGTAGAAGGATGATGAATATTAGAACTTTGCAAAGCATGTGATGCAGCTGTTTTGAGACTGAGTATAGTCCACAATGTATATCCCCAGACGTGCTAGAGGCCTTTCCAATGGTTGATAACTGAATATTCCTTTCCTGATGCTTGGAACACTATGTGTTATGGCTTGAAAGTCATGTCGAATTCTGCTAATCAGAGTTTATGTGTAGCCTTCGTTTATTTAACTTACTTGATCAGTGTTTCTCATTCCACTGATTGATTACTGATGTTGATACCATGCTGTGCAAGTACAGGATGAGACGGGGGTCTATAAGAATCTCTTGCAGGAGGTCTCACAAAGAATGGGAGCATCTTTACCTGCATATACTACTTATAGATCAGGCCTAGGACACCTTCCCATCTTCACATGTACTGTAGAGTTGGCAGGCATTATATTTACCGGCGAGCCAGCTAAGAACAAAAAGCAAGCAGAAAAGAATGCGGCCATGGCAGCTTGGCTATCTCTGAAATCATGTGAGTGATCCTAGTCTTCAATGTCCTGATATGTGCATGTTATCTTATGGAGAAAAGAATATCTTCAACTTTGACATTCATATCATGATTTGCTTTGTATGTCATTTTTGGGCAAGTTTATGTTGTCTCGTGGAGAAACATTATTGTAATCTTTAAAAAGTAAAACTATAGGTTTCGATTTACTTCCTAAATCATGCCCTAAGTATTACTCGTGAACTTTCTGCAAAAGGAGTTTATTGTTCGAGAAATAAACGCGGTGAATGAAAAGTTACATTAAAGGGCAGGAAAAAGCGCATATGGTGTGAACATCGATGTGAGAAACTGTTGGTCGGCAGTCTGGCAGAGGGTCAGGGCTTTGGTCAATAGAGGCAGCTAGCTTCATCTTAAAATTTCTATTTGTTCCATTTCCTTTTTATGTGATTATTTTCAAGATTCATCTAGATATTTCAACATTCTCTACTAAAGTTTATCTGATTGTCCCTCTAAACCATAGAGCATTTTAGTGTGAGCATGATATGAAAAATTATTTACTCCTTTTACCTTAGAGGTCATTTTTACCTACTGTCATGGAAAATTTAATTTTACCAAACTCTTAATTTGAAAATTCAGAATTAAACAAATTCAATTCTTGAAATTAATTAAACCCACATTCATGCCCCTTGTATATTTGAGTGGGGAAATATAGCATTTAGCTTGAGTCCCACGATCCCGTCCAGGATCTTTTTGCAATTTCCTATTTGCAGAGTGTGTGGTTAGTGAAAACAAGTTTCTGAAATTGTTTTCAAAAAGATTTTTCCCCAGAACATCTCAAGAGATGATTCCTGTGTTTTCTGTTGGAAATTTTAGGTGCTGTTTTCAGTATTTTGGTGAAATGCCTTTCAATTTCCATGCATTTACTTAAAAAACACAGCAATTTGGAAAAGCTAATAACAGAATTTCATGCCCAAGCATGTTTCACCTATTTTAACATGTGAAACGCCGAACTTATTTTTACTTTTGCCAAAAAAATATTATTACTCTCCACTTGATAGAGTTTTTCTATTTTGAAGTTAGCGACCATTTTGAACATTCACGATCAAAGTTTTACACTATGACCATGGTTAGAGCTTATCTTCATTGATTTTACTATTATTTACAATTACAATAAATATGTTTGGATGATTTTTTCTTTTCTTGGCACAAACAATCTGCCTAACAACCCAAAGTAATACTAATAGTTATAAATATTTAAGAAGTGAAAGGGGAGGTTTTACTTGGTATCTTTTATTGACTTTTGTGGTTTTGGTTACTTTTGAGAATCGGCAGAGGTTTATCCATATGATGGTTGTAATTTTCTCTCTGATTTTCAGTTGTGCAAAGCGTGATAACTTTACGTGTTATTCTTCAATATTTTTTTGTCTATCCAGTAGTGCAACATTTTGAGAGTTCAACATCAGAAAAGCCACACAAGGATGAGCAGGAACACGTGGCGGTAACCCGTTCTCTGCAAAAGTACATCATTCAGGCTAAATTGGCAAAGTTAACATTTCCAATAAAATTTCCTACATCAAATCCAAGGTCATCAAGTACCCAGCAGCCTATAGCTACATCATCTAAAATTTTGCCTTTAATATGCCCAAGGACAGCTTCTCGCAACAAGCCTGTTATGGCTGTGAACAACAAAGCGAACCCCAAAACTGCCAAGACGACTCAAAGCCAACCAGTAATTACTAGTACAAATGAGAGTCCCACATCATTGGTGGAGAACCATACAATTGGGCCTCAGAAGTTCCCTGCAGCTGGAGCAGCACCGTACATTCCAGCTCGGCATTTCAACCAACATCATAGAATTGCATCACCAGTGACAATACGAAATGCAATTCCTGTTTTCTCTGCACCACGATTTCCTCCACCTCAGGCTTCACTAATGATGAGGCCTCCACCATTGGGTATGGCACCATCTGTCTGCATAAGACAGGCTGTTCCCGTATTTGCTGCTGCTCCTGTTAGGATAGAGGAGCTACCGATGTTAGATCCAACAATTCCAGTGGCTGGTCCACGGATTTCCAGGCCTCCAACGATTAAGGTTGAGGAACCATCAGGTTCTAAATTTTCACGCGTTCGAGTTGAGGACCCATCAGTTTCCAGAGCAGCAACTGGTAGACTGGACGAGTCACAATTGTCCAAGGTTCCTTCGGTTCGAATTGAGGAACCACTTGGTATAAAGTTTCAGCCGATGCATGTAGAAGGGCAACTGGATTCTGAATTTCTGGCGGTTAAAGTTGAGCCCCCAGTATCTCAAGCCCCAGTAATCCAAGTTGAGTCACCAGTTTCAATGGTTGTTGGTCCTGCAGCGAGTTCAAAAGCACTTGCAGAAGAGACTAAGATTGCAGTGCAGGACAACTTGCGGGAGTCTGCGGAGATTGAAGGCTTTAAAGAGCTAAAAATATGATTTCAGGTAGGGGCATTTTGAATAGCATGAATCTTTATTAAGGTCTGTACTGGCTTCTTTATGAAGGTTTTGACTCTTTTTTTTCTTGTTAATTTCCTTACCTGCTAGGATTGGAAACTACAGGAACAAAAAAAATCAGACATTGATATAAAAATATCAGGTACACGAAGCTTATGAGCTTTTCAGCTCAATCCATCATTCTCCTCCGATGGAAAGTAGGAAGAAGACGAGATACACCTGACTTGTCTTTCCTTGTTTAGGGAGAATTTTATGTGATGTCACTTCAGCCAAAGCTACCTTTAAATTCAAATGTTTCTAAGCATTTGGCTCCTTGAAACCCATAAAATTGCGCGCGTCTGCATTTCTAAAATTTGAAAACTAATATTCAACAAAATTAGATTCGTTGTAATAATAGTGGCTATAAATCTACAAGGAATTGGAATGTGAAGTCTTTGTTGCTACATGAGTCTCTTCCGTCACACACGGTTTTCACTTGTTGGCGGAATTGCCTGTATTGTTTATTTTCATGGAACAGATGTACCTTAGTTTGAGTTCAAGAGATCTCTGTTTAGTAATGGGAAAGTTTATTCCAATAGGGTATGCCTGTATATTTTCTCTGAATTTTGTCATGAATAATGCTGCTGTTATTCTGTACTATTAAGTTTTTTTTTTTGCTCTTCCAACTAAACTTGTGATATGGAGTGTAGAAGGGTGGAAATTCTCCGTCACTGCACTGTTGATATAAATTCAACACTGATTTCAATTTTTTTTTTTCTCTATCAGCTAGTGTCAAAATATTTATGGGATTTATTTCCTTGTATAAAGATATTACTGCTCTAGTGGAAATTCAATGCCTAATTCTGCGTACTAGCAGTATGGACTCTGGGGATGTCATGAATTTTCGGTTCCTTCTTTCCGTTTATTTTAACGAGACTTCTCGAATCGCTCTGGTTGCTAGGTTACAATGCCGGCATTGAGGAATGTCTCAAATTTTGTTGCTGGTTTTTTCTTTTTCGTGTTGTTGGCGGAGACCTCTCTCTATTTGCTTTGATTGCCAGGTTTCGATGCTTTCTGCACAAAGCCTATGCATTCATGAAATCCTTCGTTGTAATATCCCGTCCCAGAAGAATAGCAGTTGTCTTATATTCTCAAGTTCAATAAAAGAATCTGCTTCAAGCATTCTTGTTACAAGGTTGCATATGAATTGCGCCCAGCCAAAGAAATTAGGCATGCAATGAAGTGCAAGTTATAGAGAATCAGTTTGCTATTTTGAATGATTATTAGAACTGATTTTCAGAAAAATCTGGTACGGGGTTGGCTGGCGTATTTTACGATTCTAGTATTACATCTTCATTGCCTGTGTGGGTTCTACTTCAATCTAACACCCTTCTTGAAAATCTTAAATGAATTGAGCGTAAAAATCTACTGTAAACAACTCGCATGTTGCAGTAAACCATATTATGTGTAAAAGAAAACTTCAAAAGTTGAAATCAATGCCACATTTAAGAGGTGAAGGCAGCATTCGTTGCCTGAAAATATTGTAGTAATATCAAAGTTCGAGTTTCTGAAGCTTAGGTTTTGCTGGTCAACAGTGTCGAAAACCTAATTGACTATATTCACGAGATCAAAAGGTTGGTTACCAAAAACTGAGATAGTTGGCAATGGTTGCTATTGCCGTACATGACCAATGGTTAAGCGGTTGAGCATTGTCATATGCTACCGGCCTTGCCTATAATTAGAAATTAGAGATTGATCGTTGGTGGTGGTGGTCCATAGTAACCTACGATGATACAGTCTCCTCTAGGGCTGAGCGTGGGTTGGTTTTGAGTCCAACTCAAACCCAATATGTTCAATTTGACAATAATTCAAATCGAAATCAACACATTCACGATTGAAACCCAACACAATCCAAACCAACCAAATTCGGGTTGGGTTGGGTTGATTGGTTTGGACTTGAGTCCAATTCAAGTTGGACTTAATTATTCTTTTGTTGGTCAATTTTTCTATGGAGAAAATTACCTAAAACCCTTATTTTTAAGATTACTATTCAAAAATAAGGGGATAGAGTTTACAATTCAAATATCAGGTGATAAATATAATTATTAATTGTAATTAATAAAATTTAAATCTACATACAACTCCCACCCCCATTCATTCCCAAACCCAGAAAACCCTCTCCCCTCTCCGGCCCTCTCTCTACCGGCGACGCAGAAGGGTGGTGGCGGTGGTACCGATCTTGTAATGGGTGGTTGGTCACGGTGATGGTGGCGGATCGACGGATCCTCATTGTCACAGCGGCGTTCGCTATTTGTCGCTATGATGACGCCGTTCATCTCTCTCCCCTCCTCGTCATCATCAAGCACTGGCACGTCGGTTCCGACAGCTCCTCTCTTCTCTTATCCTCTCCCCGACTCTTCCTTTATTTTGCTTCCATAAGCAATCACCGTCTTAAAAAATACCAATCTTCTCTGGCAATCGCAGTAGATTTCTCTTTGTTGATTCATTTGATCTCGGAGACTCCATAGTCAAGCCCAGTCTTCATCAACTGCTTTTCCAAAAGTAGTATATACAGTAGATTAGGTAAACTAAACCAATAAAGCTGCTGAAATTTCGAAGCATTAGATTTGGTTGATTAGAATGATATATTTTCGTCATCTGGAGGTAAAATAATCTGAGATTTTATGTTTGTGGTTTGGTAGTTTAAGAAAAGTGGTTTGATGGAGAGTCATATAGAGGAGTTTACGGAGGTGAAGGCGAAGAATTCGTGGGGGGGAGGCATTGCAAAGGTGGAGGAAGGCGTGTTGGCTGGTGAAAAATCGTAAACGAAGGTCCGACATAAGGGAAGTGTCGAAGGTTGCAAGAAGTGGGTCTGAACAGTAGGGGAAATCTGACACCAAAGTATAGTTTTCACTGATTTAAAAATGCGAGTATATTTTTGTGTCCCAATGACTTTTCCTGTATGGTTTACTTCATCTGCTGCTTCATTTTGGAGTCAAACATAAACTTGATTTCTAGTTACTTAGCTTGATGTTNAGTCACAATTAGTCACATTGAATACAAATTTTTTTTTCGATAATTTTTTTAGGTGGAGGCATGGGTGGGGTGGTTGTAGGTAGATCCATGGGTTAGGGGTGTGATTTTCAATTTATAATTTTCTGGAAATTTTAAATGCCGAAGCGATAGCCGGAACAATCGCCGGGGCGGCCATCAGAGTGATAGCAAGAACAGTCGTCGGAGTAGTCGCCGAAGCAGGTGCCGGAGATGGAGGGAAGGTGGTGTTGTGGGGTGGGTGAGGTGTCATGGGTGTAAATAATTAATGTATATTATATTATATTTTAATATTTAATAAATTTATTTACCACCTGATTTTTGAAATATTTTAATAAGTTTGTTATTTATGAAATGTAAACTTTAAAACTAGGAATTATGTATTGTTCCATTTTCTAAGGGCACAATGATTGAGATCTTTTTCGTTGAATTTAAACAATTTTTTTAAAGTCTGATATCATTTCAATTTGAACCAATTTCAGTTACATTAAAAATGGTGATTTGAAAGGTTTTAAGTCGATTAAAATTGGATCAATGGTCTGTGGGGTTAAATTTCATTCCGATAAAACAATATAAATTAAAAATATTGTAAAACATATTAAATAAATTATATCATGATCAAAATAAATACATATTAAATCAATCTAAATACATGTTGAATACTTGTATATTATACCCATTGAATAAAATGAAGAGACGAGAAGATACAGAGGCAGAAGAGAATTTTGATCATTAGGTTTTAGATTTTTTATTTGAAGTACTAATATTCCTTTTAATATTTTTTAGTTTATTGGGTTTGGTTGAGTTAGATTTAATTGGATTTTAGCGCTTGTCTGGCGACGCTTTATGTCAAAATTAAAATCAATTTTCAAACCGTTGCCACAGTGAAGTATTAGAGAGAAGTCAAAAACTGGGGCTGTCAACGGATAGAAAAATGCTTAAAATTAGGAGAAAATGTGCTGCCAAACATAGCCCGAAACCCAACCCGACCCAACCTAAAATTTGGTTTCCTAACCCGAACCCAACCCAATTGAACTACAAAACCAACCCGAACCAATTGATCAGTTTGATCGATTCAGATTGATTTTTGCCCAGCCCTAATCTCCTCCTTTCTCTGCCTATAACAAGCTTGTTTGGAGTGCTTAAATTAAAATGTAAGCTGCGAGTCTTATAGAAAGTGTAAATACAAAGTGATTATTAAGTTGCAAGACCGGCATAATGTAACAGTGAAGTGCATATAACCAGTTTAAATTTTAGTCTAAGCTTAGCCCAATATGCACGACATATTCTTGATATACTTCTTATAGCAGACTCGATAACCTCAACAGTATTAATAAAGAAAAGGTCAAAATCTTGCCCATTATGGTATTTAGTACAATGTGCCAAACATGTTGTGTTCCTATAATGATATATTAATCTCCCCATCATTTTCCTGATTTTGCTCTGTATAACTTATAATTCCCCACCTTTTTCCTCGGTAAGAATGGAGCTTTGAACTGACGAAGGTGAAAAGCCATCTTCAGGATTGTAGTTTTAACCACATACATCTCCTTCATATGACCAGTAGCGCACGCAAGAAAACATGAGGCAAAGCTAAAATTCAATTGTCGGTAAGGATTGAGCTGCAAGTTGTAACTGGAATTCCACTCTCTCCGAGGAGTAATTGAATTACAGAGGGGGAAAAAAATTACTGGTGTCACTGCACAAGACTCCAAGCTTCACGTATGATGTCATCATCTACAAAAGGCCGCAACGACCACATCAAGCAATAGCTCTCCAGTTCTCCAGGTGATGACTTGAGATTAAGTGAGCGAACGATCCGTTCCTACATCAAGTAAACCGATGATGCTAAAATTATAGTACCTTTTGAGGGGTAGTCACTGGTTGTACCAGATAAAAGTCGTTGACTACAGAGTAGACACGTTTCATATTAACTAATGTGGGGTGGGGGAAGATACCTGCATTATGCACTCTTGTTTCATCATACTGTATACAGCAGCCATCATTGCAGCATAATCAGTATCTTCGGGTTTTGAAAGATCTGATGACAATTTTTCCTCCTGAAGAATATATAATCAACTAATCAAACTTAATTAGATGGTTGTAAGGACGTATGTTTGTGACTGATAAGGAAGATGCTATTCATCAAAATCCAATTGTAATGGTTCACAAGAATATCAGGCGTGCAATTGGTAATCGAAAGAGTCAAGCCAGAGCACATAATGTCAAGAAAGAAGGTGAGATTACAAGCTATTAGCATTAGTATTCCAACAGGCAAAAAGCATAATACATGGAAATTCCAGTCATTCAATGAAGATGGGACGAAAATAGGAGGGTGGGTGCTGGTGGGGTTGGTTTAAAGAGGTTTCTCAAGATAAAATTCAAGATATTCTGATTGCAGGAAGCTGCATTGAGAAGTGAACTAGAGGAACGGCTCAAAATTTTGAGAGACCAATTAAGCAATTATCCTGGAGAGCTAGAGTGGGAATAACTATCTCGGCCGTAGCGGAATCATACCAGTAAATAAAATAATATCTCGTGACAATAAACAGCATAAAATAGCCATGCACCTCCAACATCCAGCATGTGTACACATTAGAAAATAATTAAAGGCAAACACAAGTAAAATGATTCAGCCCATGTTCGGTAGGGATTAAATCGGATTTTGATAAAAGTTGATGAAATGTGTAGTTTAGAAGTTGTGGGTCCATGTGAATAAAACTAATTGTTGAATTTGACTTGGATAAAAATCTAGATTTTAATCCCTACCAAACAAGAGTTCAAGCTTTTTTTTTTAAAACTCAGTCCAATTCAGAATCAGTTTAAACTTCCTAAATGTGAGAGCCTATTCAACAGGTTAAAAGGCCAGCAAAATGCACAAAATAGAACTACTTGCAGTTATGAGAACCCCAAAAAAGCTTAATCGCTAGAATTATATTCTCTGAAGATGTCTAAACTAATATAACCAGCAAAACATTATTATGCCCCCTGTTTGGTGGGGATTAAAATCAGATTTTTGTAGATTTTGATAAAAGTTGATGAAATGTGTGGTTAAAAAGTTTTGGGACTCATAAAAAATGTAGTTGAAATTAATTGTTGACTTTGATTTAGATTAAAATCTAGATTTTAATTCCTACCAAACAAGGTATGTGAATCTCCAATATCATATTGAAATTACGGGAACATACGGAAAATTAGTTCGAAATTTGAATGACAAACACATTTCCCCTGAAGTTTCATTCAATAAATGTAGAAATGAAACCATATGCAGCAGACAAAATCATCTTACTATGTTTTTCTAGTACCATTTTGTTACATGCATCAAGAACAAATAAATCAATTTAAATACATAAAGGAAATCTTTCTCCTGGAATTTTCCACTTTATTTTCCTTTTACTTTTTGGTTTGGGGAAGGGAGGCATGCAAGGATGGGGATTGGAGAGAGTCTGGTTTCACCCTCTGAATAAAATGAAGCCACGATAAGAAACAATAAAATAACAGGTCAAAAATGCCAGTTCAAAACGAGCACGCACACACTGACGGTGAGACAGAGAGATCTTACATTCTCATACATAGCCAAATATGAATCTAAGTTTCCATTACTATGTTCGCCTTGGAAAAGTGGCCAGTTTTCATTTGCAGTTTGGATTGCGCCTGATGCATCATGAAGAAGGCATTCAAGTTCGCTGACAACACCTCTTGCTGAAAATAGATGTAGATAACATATATTCAGATTCAAGTAATCAAACTCAAAGCCAGATTTAGATAAGTTGCAAAGATAAAAGCTTCTAGGGGGAGGGGTAAAGAAAAAAAAGGAACACTGGAAAGAACATTTACTTTCAGGTCAATGCATATATTTGTTGAACAAAAAATTTAGGGCTTGTTTGATCCCCATTTTTGTCAAAAAAAAAAAATGCATTTTTGAAAGATTTTAATTCCTACCAAACAGGGTATGTGAATCTCCAATATCATATTGAAATTACGGGAAGATACGGAAAATTAGTTTCGAAATTTGAATGACAAACACATTTCCCCTGAAGTTTCGCTCAATAAATGTAGAAATGAAACCATACGCAGCAGACAAAATCATCTTACTATGTTTTTCTAGTACCATTTGTTACATGCATCAAGAACAAATAAATCAATTTAAATACATAAAGGAAATCTTTCTCCTGGAATTTTCCACTTTATTTTCCTTTTTCTTTTTGGTTTGGGGAAGGGAGGCATGCAAGGATGGGGATTGGAGAGAGTTTGGTTTCACCCTCTGAATAAAATGAAGCCACGATAAGAAACAATAAAATAACAGGTCAAAAATACCAGTTCAAAACGAGCACGCACACACTGACGGTGAGATAGAGAGATCTTACATTCTCATACATAGCCAAATATGAATCTAAGTTTCCATTACTATGTTCGCCTTGGAAAAGTGGCCAGTTTTCATTTGCAGTTTGGATTGCGCCCGATGCATCATGAAGAAGGCATTCAAGTTCGCTGACAACACCTCTTGCTGAAAATAGATGTAGATAACATATATTCAGATTCAAGTAATCAACCTCAAAGCCAGATTTAGATAAGTTGCAAAGATAAAAGCTTCTAGGGGGAGGGGTAAAGAAAAAAAAAAAGGAACACTGGAAAGAACATTTACTTTCAGGTCAATGCATATATTTGTTGAACAAAAAATTTAGGGCTTGTTTGATCCCCATTTTTGTAAAAAAAAAAAGCATTTTTGAATATTTTATTGATGGGAAATGTATGGTTAAAAGATAAGGAAAAGTTTTGGGTTTTGAGTGTAATATTATTTTATTGAAGAATATGTGATTAAGGTCAAAACACTATTCAAGAATGCATTTTTTTCTTCAAAAAATGGGGCTCAAACAAGGGCTTAGTTATCTACTATGGCAATTTACTTGNATGGGGCTCAAACAAGGGCTTAGTTATCTACTATGGCAATTTACTTGCCAGATATTATCAGCAGTTTGTGGAAAGAAAAAGGCAATGTGCCAAATCAAAAACGACAAAGGCACAGTGATACAAAAATTTCAAATCAATAGAATGACAGTGTGGTAGTTATTACACGCCAATAATATAATATACTTCTTAAAATGTGCTATATGGTTTCTTCCATTTTAGATCGTGACTGATGATACCATGTATGTATATGCATGTGACATAACTATCACATATTTATATTTCTTTTGATAAACACTACCATAAATTTATTTTGTTAGAAGAGGAAGGATAAACCAAAACTAGCATTTGCCTATTGAAGTTGTAAAGTATGCAATCTTCCAATAGATATATCAATAAACCAAATGGAGTGGAGGAAAAGAATTCATGTAGCCGACATAAAATTTATTGGGAACGTTAAGATGATCGTTTTGAAATTATAATAAACCAAATGGAGCGGAGAAAAAGAATTCATGTCACCAACATAAAATTTGTTGGGAACAAGACTTAAGATGATTGTTTTGAAATTATCTACTAACTAAGCATTAGAATTGTAGATTTGCGAAGCATGGGATGAGTTAATTCCTATGAAGTTTATGAATTATTAGAGATTATTAACTCATTGAATATTAATCTTTCAATTAAATATGAGAGAGGAAAAAATAATATTTAAAAGAGAAAAAAATTGGAAGGCGATTGGATAGCTATTCAATTTCAGAAGCTACATGCATATAATGAAGTATTAGGCACAGAAACTATTAATATTAGAAATCAATGTGAAAGTTTGTTTGGCAGAAAATTAATACAGCTGGAGTAGGCACTGATACGTCAAGATACTAAAAAGCCTTCCTTTGATGAATCACTTATTAAATGCACAGAATATAGCAGAAAAATTGTATTATACAGGACTCTAACCAGACTCAATATATGATAATAGAGTCTGAATGAATATCAGTTATCTGAAAAGAAAAATACCTTTATTTATCTGGTCTTGAAGTCCGAGATGACATGTATTCACTTCTGCGTGTATATCCACGAGTTTATAAAGGAAACAAAATTAGATTGAGATCAGTAAGAGTCAAGTTTTAAGTAATTCTGAAAATGAAAGTAAGGCGACCTGGTTAACAATGGAAACAGAGAAACTATAAAGCAAAAACAGCAATTATATGATCAGAACAGTTTCTGGTTACAACTGGTCACATTCTGCTGAGCAAAGCAGCAGGATAACAGAATGCAAATAGATTACATGAAGGTCTACAGTTATGTGCAATCCGTAGAGAAGATTAGCAAAGGGAAGAAACATAGAATACATTGTTTTAACCTCCTGTGGGAAACAAATGATTATAGAAATTAATAAACAGTAAACTTGAGATTTCTCTATTCTTTAAAGTTATCTTTTTCATGCGACCAAACAGAGAAACATTTTTTTCACAAATTTTGCTTTTGCTTACCAGTTAAGTTCATTTAAAACAGAAAAGAGAATTGGTCCTGCAATATTCTATTAGGAATTATTTTGCTAGGTGATGCTGCTCTGCATCAAGCAAC